CGCCGCGGAGCCGCGCTGGAGAGCTCGCTCTGCAGCCGGATCCACCCCGCTTTAAATATTCATGCCTTTCATTAAAGTTAACATTAATTGGGCTACCATACGCATCGATTATGCATAGACCCTGAGTGTTTAACCTCTGAAAGCCGGCGAGTATATTCAAGGGACGCTGCACGTCCCGCCTGCGACGGTTTCAAGCCAAGTCTTCCGCTACGAAGTCGAAATAAGGAAAAAAAAAAAAAGCGTTACTGTGCTAAAGAAGAGTAGCTCGAAATATCAGAACAGTAATAAAAATAATTATTGTACTAACCAAACAGAAAAACTGATGTAAGCGGTAGGTTGCCTTGCATTTTTCTAAAATAATGAAGGTAGCAAAAACTGTGTAAAATTTCTTACTGATAAATGCTAGACTGATACATAAGCTTCAGTTACACTATGTTCAACAGTTAAAAGGCATTAATTGGTGGCTGAGTGGCTTCTATTTAGATGAGGATGATGTTTAAACGATTTAACAAAAGAAAAAAAAAAGACAATCTCTTGAAATAAGCTGGTTTGTGTCTTAAAAATAGAAACCCTAAAGCCTCGCACACTACAGAATAATTCTACCCCCAGGGAAGCACAAAATGCTACAATTCTTAAACCAGGATGTAACAGACAACATTTGACAGAAATTCAATTATCCTTGAAAGATCCTACTTGTAGTTAGTTACATATGTAATCCTCTTTTATTTAATGGGTTAAAGCTCTCATTCTAAACATTTAGTTTGATGAACTGAAGACTTGCTAGATGTCAAAAAATTCATTAAGTGACTTAATAAGATTGTTAAGTAAAAACACTCAGAAGTTAAAAAATGTCATTTAATGCTGCCCATGCAACCTTAATTCTGGTCCTATATGTGTATGCATTATGAAACACCAGTGAATTAACTTTTAATCTCCTTTGAGCCGAAAAGATTTTAAGATGGGAAACTAAGGCACAAAGGCCATATGCCAACAAATACAATGCTGAGCTTTATAGCAATCTCTGAACTAGCTCACATCTTGCAGAGCCTACCCCTGCAGGGCTAATTACCCCAGATAGAAAAAGGGGTTTGTAAGAGTTATACCGCTTCTGGTACCTCTGCACGGCAAGCTTAATTCTCTGTTCCCGGCACTGCACTGTGCCATACAGATATACTCACAAAAGACTAAAATTTAAAATCTGAAGAAAATCCAAAGTGCTTGTCAATTATGATGCTTCATACCAAAGGTGCTTAGAAACTACTTTTCCCTCAAGAAGTTTAAGACTGTAGATTCTGACCTCCCCAAAGTAAACACGTACCACCTTATGTACAAAAAAGGTCTCTGCAAACAACACTAGTTACACTTTAAAAAAATCAGTCTTTAAATCCTCTATGAGGTAGATATACAAAAAAAAAAAGTCACCATTTTGCAGAGAAGCAAACTGTTGGAGAAAGACTGGCTTGCCCGAAATAATACTCATTTCTCACTGAGCTGTTGTTAATAACTCCCAGTTACCCAATTCTTGTTGTGAAGCTGTGCACCAAGAAGGTGTAGTATATGTATTTTGGAGCCACAGTAATACATCCAAATTCTGTTCAAACAGCCTTGCCAGCACCCTCTAAGAAGTTTATGATTGAACATATCCTGGGTGATATCATAAAAATTTTCCATTTTTCTTACAAGAAAACACTAGTGGCTAGCTAGGATCTTGCAAATCGTATATCCATCGCCTGTACCATTTAGCATGTTTAAAAGCTGACACTACATCTTTCATGCTTCCTTCTTCAGTAACATTTAAACAGAGGTAGCCAGTAAGTCATTTAAACATCAACCTCAATTTTATTAGTTTTATTGCACTGTTTTTTGTTGCACGGTCATGGACAACCGTACCTGTTATGCAGAGTTGTAAAAAAAGGAAGATTTTGTATTCTCAGCAAGATTACCGTTTAGATTTTTAATTAAAAGACTTGATAAAATGAAAGAGGCCACATTTTACAGAGTAAGGATGCTTTGAATACTTGTCAGTTAAACACTCTTTCACATGCTCATTAAACACTGCTTGGGGTTTGGTTGTTTCATTTTGTTTTGCACTTTCACTTGTGAAAAACAATCAAAAAAGCAGGGAAAGACTGTGGATTGACGTCTCTCCACTCTGACATAATCCACATATTCTCATTCCTTTTCCAATAGGTCTAAAGGTGAAGGGGTACTCACTCACTGAGCAGTTAACTTTTCTATCAAGTATGCTGGCAAAAAAATAAATACAAATAGAAATGATGGCAGAGTTATAACATGTCCAAGTAGAAATGGACTGCAATAGATGACTCGTTTAATGTGTCAGATGGCAATCAAAAAAATTTGGATGCAGAGGAGAAAGTTTCTCATTCTCTATCAATCTCTGAAATAATACTAGGCCTCAAAAGTAATCATATTGTTTAACTAAATCTAAACTAAACTACTTTTTTGTGATTACAATTTGAAATTATTTTCAAGGCTTAGGAGTTAAATTTATTAGACTGCGAAGAGTTTTACAAGGCATTTCTAATGTAACAAGCTCAGGCACCACATATGTTGCATCTTTGGTACATGTTATGAAGAGCTGCTTTTTTTAATGAGCTTTAAAAATCATATTTGCATACCAGAGGAAAAGGTCAGTGATGTGTGGATGAAGTTAGTAAATTAAGTATTACAGTATTATGTTATTATGATTGCCTTCCACAGGCATACGATACCAAAAGTACGGTCTGTAGTTACAATTGTACCGCAATGCCTCGCTGTAGGTGGCCTGGTAGCTTGACGTGCACAGGCTCCACAGCACCTTCCACAGCACAGGCTCCCTCGTACTCTGTCCCTCATCCAGGCCTCCTTCGCTTCCTTTCTCCGACACCTCCTACAGCAGAACAGCTGATTTATCTGGTGGGCAGAGGCTCCAAGGAGAAAGCAGAGGGAAGAGGGGCTGGATTCAGTGAGGCGGTCCATTTCCAAGCATCACCTTGCACTACAGCCATTAACCAGAGTAAAGTTCCCCAGGGCCAGGTCCTGAACCCTCATTACAAGATCAAACCTACCGGCCAGCAAAGCATTAACACAGGGACTCCTCTTTCCATCCAAGCCCCACTCTACCTGACTCTGTTCAAAGATGCAACAGCATCACCTGTCTTTCAAAATACAGATACCAAAACTATTTCTAATGCTATGATCTACAATTCCATCCACTCTACCTTATCAGCTCTCTTTAGCTGGAATGTTAGCTATTCTGTAATCTTTGAAGACTTGTTGAGTGGTAGCTATGTTTAAGCTTGTTATTCTCTGATAAAGAAGAAAATAAGCCAAGAACTGACTGCAGATACACTCTAAGAAGGTTTTATGCCAACAGTGAAGTTCACTGCATTCACCTGTATTTGCGTATTTTAAGGGGCACAGAAGTTGACTCTATCCCCCACTCTGAAACAATACATAGTATTTAATAGCTCTGTGTGTGTGTGTGTGTGTGTGTGTGTGTGTGTGTGTGTGTGTGTGTGTGTGTGTGTGTGTGTGTGTGTGTGTGTGTGTGTGTGTGTGTGTGTGTGTGTGTGTGTGTGTGTGTGTGTGTGTGTGTGTGTGTGTGTGTGTGTGTGTGTGTGTGTGTGTGTGTGTGTGTGTGTGTGTGTGTGTGTGTGTGTGTGTGTGTGTGTGTGTGTGTGTGTGTGTGTGTGTGTGTGTGTGTGTGTGTGTGTGTGTGTGTGTGTGTGTGTGTGTGTGTGTGTGTGTGTGTGTGTGTGTGTGTGTGTGTGTGTGTGTGTGTGTGTGTGTGTGTGTGTGTGTGTGTGTGTGTGTGTGTGTGTGTGTGTGTGTGTGTGTGTGTGTGTGTGTGTGTGTGTGTGTGTGTGTGTGTGTGTGTGTGTGTGTGTGTGTGTGTGTGTGTGTGTGTGTGTGTGTGTGTGTGTGTGTGTGTGTGTGTGTGTGTGTGTGTGTGTGTGTGTGTGTGTGTGTGTGTGTGTGTGTGTGTGAGAGAGAGAGAGAGAGAGAGAGAGAGAGAGAGAGAGTGTGTGTGTGTGTGTGTGTGTCTAGGTGTACATTAAACTGTTATGCACTACATGATATATTATGTATGTTTATACATATCACAGCCAAGTAATGACACTCCAGCTCTGTACAAAGGCGTAGATCTAGTCATTAGATTAGAAAAAAATCTTTTAAAATATTACAGCAGTAACAGCACAACTCAATACAGCTGATGAGTTATAAGTAGTTTTAATTATTTTCACTTTTATATGTGATAATCCTCAAAGTAGCATTCAAAAATATAGTGCAAAATACTTTTTCATTTTATTTACAAATAAAATGCACAGTTTAGCTTCTAATTCTCACCAAAAAAGTAAAAGTTGTTCTTCCATCTGATGAACAGAAATTATGAGAAACACTTGAAAAGGCAACTAATTCATTTTAAAGCTAAGAACAAAGAACTTCTCTTCGGTTTTATTTCTGTAGGTGAAGTTACACAATATTATTTTTAAAAAAGTTTGCAGTTAAAAAAAGAGTTCTGAGATAACACTAAATAATTACATATGAAGTAAGGTATTCTTTCTTTTAAAACCATAAACTTATTTTGCAATGACAATCACAATGCAAAGTACTTCATCTATGGAGCATATACATTCTTTTTGCAGCTGAAATTTCAAATCTTTTCAATGCAATGCTTTTCCCCTTTTTACTACAAAAATTGCTTTGAGGGGAAAAAGTATTCTAGTACCTTCCTTTCCCTCTGACGAAACGATAGATGCTTTGGTTAAACAGCAATTCGCGCACAATAGTGTTTCAACTTGCAAGGCAGTACTCCTTTATTAAGCTGGTAGAATTCCACTAGCTGGATGAGATCAGTAAATCTCGTATGACCATCATCAAGGGTATAGAATAGCTTCCCATCATCTTCCAACTGTAAAAATGGAAAAATAAGATAGAATAAAATCCTCTTTTGCTATGATATTTCTTCCCGATTGAAAGACTTGTTTGAGAAGTCTTCTTGTAGACCAAGATACTCATAATCTTATGACTAGGGAGAGAAGGAGAAATACAGTGATCATTCACAACAAGATCAGAAATAACCAACAGAAAAATAATGCATTCTTTAACTTTCCATCTATGTTAGGTACATGCCTAAAGGAAAGAAAGCTAAATAAGTATTTGAGTATTAGCATTCTTTCTGGACTAATAATATTGTTTTATGCCTTAGCGCTTTAGACTCAAAGCTGGAGCCTATACAAACACGGAGTTTTCACAGGGTACCAGTGAACTGTCAATTTTCAGCCTACTCACAGACTTACTCATCACCCTTTGTTCCATTCAGCAGTCTGTGTAACTGATACATTTTGGATCACTGATTTTGTAGAGTGCAATGTGGCTACACGCTAGTGTAGTGAATGGTACTTGCTGTACAAGGAACTGCCCATCAAAAAAGTAACATTCTTGATGTAGTAACATGTTCTTTGTTGTAGGAAAGAACTGCTGCCGCTGCTCCAAATGCTTGTTTTAGCATAGATAACCACACGAAAGAAAAAAGAAGAAACTGCAAAATATCCTTTGAAAAATTACTCTTTCAGAAGCTCGAAAACTTAAAACCAGTAGCTCCTCATTCTATGTTACTAAAAATTAGCTCTTGCACAATTTGAATTGCACTGCTAATTCTGTCTACATGCTTTCTCGATAGATTTCCTCTTCTGCTGATCGATCTAATATCAAGAAGCTTCAGTACGATAGTGACCAATTAGTATTAATGTAAATAGAAGAGGGGGAAGAAAAGGTTTTTTTAAAAGAGAAAAGGAGGAAAAAAGGTAGCTTGTAAAATGTAGATAGGGAACAAAAGAACATCCTGAAGTAGGGTTAGCGCAGAGCAGCAGATGCTGGGCTAGAGAAAGATGCCACTATCCTACTTGAGGTATAGGGGAAGGGAGAAGGTGCAATTAGCTCTCTTACCTTTAATTAAGATTTCTCATCTGAAGCAGCTGTTGGACTGCTTATGACTCCTGGTTATTCTACCCTTTTCTACCATGTCTGGAAGTAGTTTTTAATTTCTTTATTCTCAGACTTTGGTCAATCCAGGTCAAACACTGCTAGATAAGGAATTATCAGTGTGTGCATGTGTTAAGTTCTTGTTCTCCAGCCAAAAACCTGAAAATGGATTATCAGCCATCGGACTTTTCTTATGCATGCAATTTTCCTGCCAACACACTGAAGACAAGCAAGAGTTGACATTTCAGATGTCTGTTGACTTGGACTTCAGTTTTAGCTTTTATTTATTATTATTTTTTATTACCCCCCTTAAAGTTATTCCAAAACCTTAAAGAAAGTGATAAATATTTTGCAAAGTAAGAACTCATACAGAAGTTATGCTGCCCAGGAACCTAGTATCTTCTGCAATCTAGGAAGGCTGTTAAGAGAGAACATCTATTAGAAAAAAGGCAGTCCCAGAAATATACGTAGATCAATTTTTCTTTCTTCATCTGCCCTACAGAATAGCTAATTTCAGAATAGACTACAGTGAGCTTAATTTGTATCAGCCCAGAGTAATAGGGCTGGAGTTCTCTAATTTTCACAGTATGGGATCCCAAGCGTATCCCAAAGGTTTTCTTTTAACTTCTTGCAATTTCCTGCCACACACCTGCAATCCCTGTTGCACATGTTACCAATGTTAACATGCTGCACTTGTTAATGTGGGAAAAACTTGGCCTGGCAGGGTACATCTCCTATCTGGAAGGGGATATTTTTAAATGAAGTATAATCTGAAGCAACCTAAAATGTAAGAAAAAAATAATTCATTTAGAGGCTGAACAGTTTTTTTTTAACCTGTAAAAAAGACCTTTAGAATGTCATTTATTTATTTAAATTGAGTAGAAAAGTTTATCTTCTCTTCCTGATGGCTGGAAAAAGTTGAGAGTTTGCAAGAACAGTAGGATCTGAAGTTCAAAAAGATAACCTTGATCTCCAACTAATAAGGTTCCAGCTTACTGCACTAATACAAAATGCCTTCTTTCTTAGAAAATGGTAACTTCATTGAGGGAAGATAAGCATGAACTGGAAGCAAAGCTCTTTTTCCTCAAAAATATTGTTTTGAACTCCTTGAAGACTCTTGTTCTAGCAAAACCAGAGCATGCAGGAAGGCAGGGACTGTGCATTGCACGAGGGGGACTGAAGGGGACTGAAAACTGTTCTACCTCAGGGAGCCGAAATATATGTATGTTTGGGATATTACCAATTTCCTTATTTACATCCTCTCTCTCAGATTAAGTTATTCTCAGGATAGATTCCTGTCCACCCCTACCCCTCCAGGAACTAGCATAGGATGAACTGCTTTACTTTGGAGAGCATCAACAAATTTCCTTCAAAGACGACATGTTTTGCACTGAAGCAATACAGACAGGTCTTCTAGATCATGGAGAAGTTGACCCAAACCAATCCATGTCAAAACAGATTCCCCCTTTCTCCACCAAAGATGCTACCATAAAAGAGAGTAAGGTTTTAGCATCCATATATACGATTAATTCCTAAAACGCACTGCTTGCATTCTCCCAGTTTCTGTGGAAACACAGTCTGCAGTAGAGCATTAGAATTGACTGGATAATTTTTTTTTTTTTGAAGGAAGAGGAGAATCATCACGGTCAGAGGAAACTGAAGACAACTGCAGCTTCCTGCCCCATCTGCTCTTCAAGGAGAAAGGGTCCATTTTCTGATAGGGAAATAAAAAGCTTTCTCTCAAATCTGAGAGTTAAACAATATCCCAATGAAGTAGAATCATACAGTATTTGTGCAGAGTTCAAAAGGTTTCCTAAACCACACAATATCTATCCCAAAGCAAATACTAGAAGCAACTGGAGTCAACAGACACACAGAGGATCTCACACCTGGGATCTCATCATAGAGCATACAGTGGTGCTGACACAGGATCCAGGGCACAGCTACCACCTTTGGATTAGAGGATCCTGTATCATTTGCGCTTAAGACAATAAAAATCCCGGACAATTCTTTTACCTGGCATTGATCTCACTCCTTTCCTCTTCCCAAATAACCTTCAGTCTTATTCTACAGTAAAGTTTATAGGGAAGGTTTTTAGGGTGAAGGTTTTTAGGGTATCAGCTAGAAGTGCTGGATAACACATACAGAATGATGCTGAATGCTCCCAGGATGCCACCAGAAAAGAATGGAGAAAATCCCACAGCACTCATCCCCACCAAGAAACAGCAGAACGTCTTAGAAACGTCAATAGGAAGAAACACAGAGACTGTAGGTAGTATTGTATGGTCTGGAAGGAAGGTTCTCTTGTGAAGAGAGAAGAAAAAGATACAAGTCTCCTCAGCTATGTAAAGTAGCTGTGGTTAAAACACATAATGCGAAAGCGTTTCTCATCTCAACAGAAGCCACCTGGAAAGCAACAGTATAAACCACCTTTGGAGAAAGTGGAAAGGATGGGAAAAGCTGGCAGCTCTGGCAGAAGAATCAGATGATATCATCAATAGAAACTGATGGAAACAAAACTTCAACTTAGGAAACTTCAGGCTACCTGTAAATAACTGGGCTAAATAAGTTTATCAGTTTTAGCAAAAACTGTCCTCCTGAAGCACACTTTGACACAGATATACCACAAAAACATGAATCAAGAAAGGAGGTCAGCAAAAAATGTATGACCCTAAATACTGAGAGAAACTAATCTGAACAGATGAGTCAGTGAGACAGACAGACAGACAGACACACACACACACTCTCCGGCTGTATCCACCTAAACAGAAGACTAAAAAGAAATGGTGCACATATTGAAAAAAATGAAAAAAGACAGTATGACCTTTATTCTAATATGATTTTCATGCCAGCAGGGTTGCTTATGTTCCACCTGAAGTAGATTTGTCCCTTGTTTCAGGATGCTTTTTAGGTAAACTAAAACATAAGATTTCACAACACCAGTCAAGTTTTGTAACAAATCACAAAGCAAAGAAGTGTTCAGTACTACTTGAGAATATTTATGATTCTTAGTGATAAAACTACTATGTCTACCATCTTCCATACAACAGTAAAATGCAAACAATTCATTAAAATTCTACCACAATTATTTGATTATATTGTTTTACAATTGTGTGTGTGTGTGTGTGTGTGTGTGTGTGTGTGCGTGTGTATATAAAACTGAAAATTTTACTTACTGGTACAATTTGAAAATGCTTTATTTTTAATCCATGACTCAAAGACAATACAAATGTTTTGGGGTTACTTTGGCTATCACGTACCAAGAATACCCTAAAAGAAATTGAAAATTTTCACAGTAAGGTCACGCTGAACGTTTTTTGTAAACATTCAGTTAAAACTGTTGTAAATTCATTACAATAAGTATTAATGAAAACGAAAAATAATGTTAATTATAAAAATTATGCTTATAATCATTATTTCTTTGCAAATGCGTCACTAGAAATACTTTTAAAAAATTTTTCTTCACCTTCACCTTCATGTGAAAAATACGCATTCTCAGAATGAATGACACTGTAGGTGTTAGTTTTAAACACTGCATAGAATTACAATGCTTCTCTTCAGACAGAAAAAAACTCTCAAAGTTTGTGCTTTGAACAAAGTTTTTCCTTGAACTCTGACAGTTACCTAAATCACAATCTTCATGGGGACAATTTGCAAGGCAGTTCAACAGAAAGTCTACAAAAAAGGTAATACAGTACATTATTCCAGAATGACTTTCACATCTGGCCAACATTCATAAATGCATGCTCACATCTGCACATCAGCAGAATTCCCACCAAGACTAGGCCACAGGCTGTTTATCTTCTGGCATCATTATTCAAATCAAAACACTCTCACCTGCCCACAGTGTCATTGTAACTAGTCCACCAATTATTCGTTCCTGCCAGATTACTGACAGACAGAGTTTTCCCATAATGCTGGCACGATTATCTGGTTCAGACCACGGATGAATACCAGTAAGAGACAGCTTTAACTGAATCACTGAGTTTGGAATATCAGCAGAGAAAAACAGCTCGGAGGACAGAGGGAAGTACCTGGTGTGCAGCTTTATAGCAAAGAAAGTCTAAACTGCTTGTACAGTACAGGCCTGGAGTAGATATAGTTATCGAACGTCAAAGAAGGGAAATGTAAGGACAGGCATTGGCAAGCATTATCCTCTTTCAGGATACTAAAAAATAACGGGCAAGATGGACTTGCAGTTATCAACCAAGCAAGAAAGAGCCACCTACTTTTCCCCAGCAGCTTATCAGGAATGCAGGCTCTACTATTATATGATGAGAGGATTTCAGGAGAAGAAAGAGGACAATGAAGGTTTATAGTGGCCTTTCACTGACTAAGGCATGGATCCAAACTGTTAGACACTAATTTGATCCTTAAAGCTTTCAGAGTCCTGTTCTTACAACAAAAGGAAGAAAATACCCGGAATTAACAAATTCAGAGTCCCTAATCATTAACATTAAATCCCCCGTCCAACTAATTCAGAACTCTGATTCAGTTTTTACCTCTCTCTCGTAAGGGATAAGTGCCAACTCAGCATACAGCTAGCAAGAGCATATGGCAAATTTAAGGATAAAGTTCTCGGTACACTCAGGCTTTCCTAATCAGCTCTCTCTCACCATCTAGTGGTCTTTCACCCCTTCCACAGCCATAAAAGAAATTTTTCAGAGCACAGTTAGATCCTTTGCATGAACTTGAATCTTTTCTACATCTGTCATTAGCAACAGACAGATTTTTTTTTTTTTTAATTCAGAAAAATGGCATTATGAGGATGTGGCACTTTCCAGATATCCAAAATGAGGTCTCTACACCAAAACACTGAGATCCACATTAAACAACACACAAAGTAATCACATGGGATAGAAAAGAAAACACAGGCAGATATTCCACTCTGCTCCCATTCATAAATTCTTTTTTTTTTTTTCCCCTAACAGGAAAGACAAGCAAGATTTGTTCTCCTTCACACAAAAAGATCTTTACTCTTTCCTAATTTTATCACAACAGCCCTACATTAGTTGCTAGAGAACCTTTAAGATCTCACTTATTTTATTATGTAGAAAGGGCTCTAGCTCATAAAAAGCTGGAAATGTTGGTTGGAAGGGTGCTTTTCAGATAGGCTGGATGACTCCTAAGAACTACTCCTAAACAAATATATAAAGAATTCTCTGAACAACCAATCAATTGCGTTTTGACGTGAGTGAACTTTGGTTCACTCACTCACCAGAAGCTGACTGGTGTGCAAACCTGTCAATCACTGAGGTCTTCAAACGTCCTGGGGGGGGGGGGGGGGGGGCAGGGTCAAGTATCAAACCTGCAATGTTGCTACATAAGTTTCTTTAAGAATGCTTGTTTTACACTAGAACAGTAGATCCTAAATCATCATCCTCTCGGAGCACACTCTAACCCGTTATTGGGTTATTCAAATACCAAGACTACTGTAGACACTTTATATAGTAGCCTTTTCATCTTCTATAAGCCATTATGAACAGTGCATTTGTTGGTACACATATTATTACAGAAGGCCCTACCACCTGCTGTTATATATGCAGGAGATCTCCAGTTTGGGGTCAGTTTGATCTTTGAAGCATCTCAAAAGGCTCAATATGTGTTTTTCGACCCAGCAAAAAAAAAAAATAAATAAATAAAAGCATCTTATTCCCATGAAAAACTTCTGTATTTCTGGTGATAATTCACTCTTTCAGCCGTTCAAAAAGCAATGCATTTGTCAAATGCTCTAATATATTCATGTCTTCACTGCAACTCATGAATACATATCTATCAGCACACAATTCCTTACACTACCATGTTCCAATCAATTCTAGACAGTCTTCTCAAGAGGATCATCTTCATCAAAACTACAGTGCATATCTATCAATAGGCCCAAGAATACTGCATAAACAACATTGCACTAATGTTGTTTGCAAGGTTTTCACTTTCTCATCTCAAACGCTATAGCTCTTTATTCCCCAAGTTTACTGGGTTTCATTTAACAGTATCTGTGTGTGGCCACTGAAATATACCAGAAAATTCATCAGAGCTAGAACTGCATACTTCTCAGAAATACCTGTTGGATTCATCCCATGTCCCTCTCCTGTAACAAATGCAAAAATCATGCAGAGTACAGTAATAGCTTCACAATGATTAGCCAGGCTTAAAAATGGGACTCCTCAAATTAAAAAAAAGACTATTTTTTGCCTCCCCTTTCTTCCCTCCCCCTGCCCCCCTTTTTCTTTCTTTCTTTTTTTTCTTTCTTTTTTTTTTTTTTTTTGGCCAGAGCTCTTTCTGCAGATGTACGAAACAGTTTTGCAATATACTTGATCTAAAACTGAAGGAATGTAACCAATGGTCTAATGTTACAGGTACCTAACTAGAAACAGATCAAGAGAAACTTTAGGTTGCACAGAGTAACTCCTTGAATGAAGGAGGCCCAAGTCTATATTTATTACATGAGGAAGGATAAAAAAAAAAAGAAGTAAGTGGAAAAATAGGAGGATTTGAACTGGATGTATGTACTTTGTAATTTTTTTCTGAATCAATACTTAAATGTGAGAAAAATAAAAGTGAATAGTCTTACCCTAACCCTTACTGTTTACCATTAAGGGATAGTAAGATTTTTACTCATTTCATGAGTAAAAGTGTACTTTTTTCAATTGCTATCTCTGCACAGTTCATCCTGGAATAAGGTTAAGCAGTGTTTTCAGACTTGCTTTCATTCTTTCATCACTAATAAGAGATACAAAAGGCACTGGTGCCAAAGCTGACAGTTCACAGAGAATATTGTGCAAATACAGAGCTCAAATGCCTGGCTCTAAGCAGACGTAAGCAATCTGTCAGTGACAGTATCAAAGCGTTAGATCACTTGCTTTATTGCTTGGAGAAAATATAAAATAGAAACCAACTGATCCCCAGATAGCCTTATAGAAAAAAAATTATTTCTATTAGGTAAGTGCAAAATCTTCCTTCCCCCATCTCCCCCCACAATAAAAAGTACATGAAAATAGCAGTTGTTGACCAGAAATGTGCCTCACAAGAGTTATGTAAAGAATTAACTTACCCATCTACAAGTCCATGCTGCAAAATAAGTCTCTGAGCTTCATCTCTAGAGATTTTATGATGAAACCATGACTGAGATCTGTGTATAGCTGGAGAAATAAAGATCCTTAAAAATCACGTTGCTTTTATTGAAACTATCAACTATTACACTCCTCTCGCAATGAATTAACTCGCACATACCTATGTTAGACATGGCAGTAGGACTACTGTGTGAATTGAGCCGTAGACACCCTCTCCTCTGTGTGGGAGAGAAGAAAAAACATGACTTCAAAGCTTTTTTGTAAGGGGGAAAAAAAAAAAATCAGAAATAGTATTCTGATAATGAAAAGGTGTTTATACCCGCCATGCTAATCCTTCTTCAACTGCAACTGAAAGGGCTTCTGTTGGATTTTCTATAATTCTGCTTCTGTGTCCTGAGAAATCCATTGCTACTAAAGAATTTTCTGAAATGCTTCTCTGCAAAGAAAAATAAATATCATTTGTCTGGGTTTTTTTTAAAGCTCTATCTTTTCAAACAGAGCTTCTGAGAAAACATTATATTTTTTAATTTGTGTTTCAAATATCTGCAATGTTTCCTATCAGAGTCAAATTTGTTTTTGCTCTGGGGAACATTTTTAATTCCCGTACATTCCTGCAAAGCTCAATTTTACAATTTGGCTGGACAGATCATCTTCTTGCATCCCTGTGATGAATGATGAATACAATGCTTTATCATAAACACTACTTATATTTTTAACTTGGTGTGTCGAAACAAGTCAGGAAGCAGATATTAAGCTGTCCAAGTAACAGACCACATAAATAAAAAACAAAACACTTGAATAGAAGCATCAGACAAATAAAGATTTGAAATATTTTACTATAAATATGGTGTAAGTTTATACACTCTCTACACAAGCTTTCAGTCAAAGTTTACCAGATTTAAGCATAGAAAACACCCATTTCTATGGATATCAAGATCTATTTTAATACTTTCCTTCAAACACCTGTCATGGAACAGACACAGACTCAACAACTATAGGACCTACTATTAAAAAGGGGTGGGGCTTTTTTGTTTTTCAACAAGTGAAGATCAAGTTTGTAACAACAGAATAAAAAGTATTAAAGTTTGACAAAACAACTTTAGAGTTCACCGATATATTACACAGAAACCCAAGTTTATACAATCAAGGTTGACGCTGATTGTAATGGCTTAAATGTTGGCAGGCACTGGGATATCAAATAATTAAAAAGCACTTCATCATTCTGTAAAGTAAACAAATATCTGGAATGTAAGATTCACAGATTTTTGTACAGTTAACAAAGCTTCCTGATTCAGAAAACCAAAAGAGCTGCTTTGTTCCTGTTTGGTTACAGATTGATTCCTCTAGCATCAAGATAACTAGAAATGGAAGAGAGTAATTCTGTTGTTCTGTAACTCTTGACACTGTAGTCTAAGCTAAAGGTCTGGCTGAATAACTGTAACCTGCAAAGAACTTTGCAAAAGTGAAAAACAAGGGCAAAGTAAGAGGAGACATTTGTGTCTCTTCAGGAGAGTGTAGGGAACTCCTCGCAGCTGAGATAGTTGTGAATTATTCAGGAACGTGAAACATGGAAGTGCTTCCTCTGTGAAGTACATTCAATAACTTGAACACTTAATTCTTGAGTTTTTCAAATTTGCTGTTCAGTTCGTCAATTATACACAAGTATAAGGCAGTGCCACGCTTAATACTGGTTACAGATGCAGCCTATGTTAGAATCTACATGAGCTAAAATGCACGTGGCAATGTAAGAGGAGAGAAAAATCAATAATGGCTCCCAGATCCATTATAAAAGAAGCAGCTGGCTATTGCTACAGCTATATGTAACAGCAAGTAAGAACACAGTCACTGCATTAAGCACAATATTGAAGCCATGCTTATTAGCACTACCATGAAAAATAAATTTCTCATGAATACCCATAAAAGCAATTATGTATTTTAAGCATTTTAGCAGCAAGAGCTAGAATAAAAGCTCAAAAAAAAAAAAATAAGAACATCATCACAAGTTCTGGCAACAAATAATTCTTACCTAAATTAGCCAATCAAAAAACATAAAGGGAGGTAAGTCACCTAAGAAAAAAAACTGTGAAATGACTCACAAAGGACTGAGATGAGGATGGCAAGGTATTACAGAAAAGGACAAACTGATCCAATCCCAGCTATCCGACTCTGGAGACAAACATTCTCTATTATAGGCTGGTATTCCTCCAAAATCTAGTTCTGCCAAATTATGGTGTCCCTCTGAAGTCCGGGCAGTATTGTATCAGTTGAAATTCATCTTAGGTACTTAATCGTTTTTAAGAAATAGAAGGGAAGTATTACTGTACACTGAAAAGCATTTGTTAAAGCTCACTTATTAATAATTTACAGCATGTTCAACCTTAAGCACTGTGCTTCTTTTTTACTTCATTTATAGCTCTGCTGCTCTGCTTCTAAAATCCTCTTTCCATTCTCTTTGACAGTGATAATAAGCCAATGAACTCTCAAAATACTGCAGATCTGACAACAGGAAAAAGCCTGTTAACTGCTCTGAACTACCAGATTTGTATTAAGTAAGTAAATTAATTAATTAGCTGTCTAGTCTATCCTGACATCCCTAAAGATTTCAACAAGCATTCACACTCACAGAGATTTGCAGGATCAGGTCAGTAGCGTAACTGACAAAAGTTATTTAAAAATAGCATGATGGCAGAAACAATATATTCATTCATGGACATACTAAAGGACATACCATTGGTGTTATATTCAAAGGGCTGCAGCCACTTCTACCGTGATAAGGTTGCATGTAATTCTGATACAGCTGCATCCCGTACTAAAACGAGAAAATAACAGGGTTAGCGTTTTAAAACTACAAACCCAAGCCAAGTAAACTTTTTTTCCAGGTGTAAAAGATAACGCTAGCACTGCCTTTTCTTTAAAAACCATTAAAAAACAGGGGCAGATGCTGTTAAAATAAGGAAACTGTTGTTGCTGCTGCCTCCCCTTTTTTTTAAATGTATACATCTGCATTAGATTCTAGACATTCAATACACCAACTGACCTATTCATATCTTGTCACAAATAGGTATATTTTAGAAACATTTTCAAGTTCCAGTCTTGTATATACTTGCAGCTTTGTTCAACCTTACTCATCCGCAATCTCACTAAATTCAGGAGAGCTGCATAAAAAGCATATGCGTAATGTTAAGTTTAAGTGTTTGCAGGACTGAGGCTTTCAAGATATCATTCCATGCCTTACTATGATTCCAGGAATTTGGTTTCTCTCTTGAGATGAGGGAAAAGACGTCTTCAGCATACAAAATTAACTGATATTGCACGAGAACCTACAATTAATGTTACTTCTCTATTTCACAATATCAGTATTTCCACATGGTAAACTTCAAGCAAGAAGTTAACTGTTCAAAAAAATTTACCTTAAGCAACCTAACTGCTGTCATCCAACAGGTCCTACTTTGTTCATCAACTGCACAAAGCTGTTTCAGGTCTCTGGTTCCTCCTGATTTGTTAGGCTAGAAGGCCACAGCACATTTTTTTTTTTATCATTAATGCATATCTTGAAGATAATACCTGTTGAAATAAAAGCCACTAATTCTCCTATTTTATAACAGACAGCTGAATATTATTTTCAGAAATTTTGAAGAAACTTATGCTTACCTAAAAACTGTGGCTTGCTTTAATACATAGAAGAATAATAAGCTTGTACCTTAAAGCAAAATCCGTAGTTTGTTGGTGCTCCAGATATCTTTTTGCCTGTCAAAGACATGTACATATCACTATTGCTGAATTCACAGAAAAACTGCAGATGCCTTGGTTCCTAAAAAGAAGAATATGATACAATTAGACTATTTTTAGCCAGCTTCTCCAGATAAGAAACTGAGAATAGTGTAGTAGTTGTCCTTTTCCAAAGCATGGTCTTACAGTTTTAACTGCAATTGCTAGACATAGACAACCCAAAATTCACTTTCTAATACAGAGAAAAATTCCTTCTTTCACAGAGAAAAAACACAGTGCAAGCGATCTGATTTCTAAGAAAACATCTACTAGATAGAAGCCACAATAATATTAGAACGTGACTGAAAAGTAACTTTGTAAGTTTTGAGTTCACTATGCATTTCAAACAGGAAAATAAAATACACTTTCAGAACCTGAAAAAACAACATACTGTAATAGTTACTGTCCAGTACCATTTCTAAGCATTACCTCCATCCTCCAAGGTTAGTTAAGTAAAAGAAGCGAACAAAAGATATTTGCTGAAGAATACAAAAATCGCTCAGGGAAGACGTTGGCAGTTAACCCAGAAAATTCAGAACAACATAAAAAAAATTTGTTTTAAGTGGCTTACATAAAAGATGTCTCACCTTCATTGTAGACTGCTTGCCATAATCAGGTTAACAGTACTGCCATCAAAAAATTGAACTAGTAAAATGAAAAACTGAGCTGTGATAAAATTTGAGAACTCTAAAAATGTTCCTATAAAATCTTTTTATACTTTACTTTTAATTTGGTTTTGGTTTTTTACTTTAACATTGATAATGAACGATTGTGTGCATCTTTCAGAGCACCTGCTAAAACTTCAAAATTTCTAACTACTATTTGAAAACTCATTTTAAAAATATACAGTGCTAACTGATTGGAAAAATATTAACAATGTATAACCAGAATGAAGTAAACTTTTCAAGAAAAAGAAACTACTTTTCCTGAGACCACTTTTTCCCAGTTTTATACCACAGTATCTCTATATATTGCATCTATGATAAATGGAAAAGTTGTGCCTTTTAAACACTATAGGTTGAAATTTAAATTCATGTTAATATTACAGCAAATCATAAACATTTGCTCTAGCTTTGTATTTCTCTCTCTCTCTTTTTTTTTTTTTTTTTTTTTTTTTTTTTCCCTACCTTTGATGTACCTTTAGTGGAAAAATAAAGGCCAGATCTTCGCAAAAGAAAGTACAGCTTTTTCCATGACTTTTTTCCCTGCTCCTTTGCATGCAAATAACCATGAATTTCAGGATACGTGCTGGAGTTTAGAAACATCTGAAAGAAAATCAGACATGCTTTTTTTTTTTTTTTTAAATCTGAAGTCAGCTTTTTATTTTATTAACATACTCACACAGAAGCATGAGGAATAAACTCCTAAACTCACTATCACACCATGTTAATTCAGTTACCATTCCATCTAATCCTATTAAGAGCACCTCTGATTTAAGGCATGCAGGACATTACATAACTTCAAGGTATGCTGAGTAAGTTATATATTTGCATGGAACATATGGCTTGAAATGAGAGCATTAGTTATGCAATACGTTGACTTCAGCCGTGAAATCAGGTTTAAGAAGCTCTGATCCCATGCCTCAGACCCTATTTTTGTGTAAACTGCAAATCAATGCTATAAACAGAGGAGAAAATGCCATTCCCTCCCCTGTGCTACAAGCCAGATAAGCGAGCTGACTTGAGTTAAAATTGATTCAGCAAACAAACCACAAAACCATACAGACCAGCAGTTCTCCTCTTGGCCTGACCAAGATCTTACCATTCCCAAAGAAGGAGGGAACAAAGGTCTTAAGGTCTGAAGTGGTGCTTAGATAGCAGGTTTAGCTGACTCAAGTACAGGAGAGGTTGGGCCTGCATCCAAGACGTACTGGCTCCACTCAAGGCATGTCATAGAGAGTATTTAGGTGAAAACAGCTTCATCAGGATGAAGGTAAGAGGGCTTAAAAGTCAAATAGATATCAGATATTTTGCCTCCAGAATTGCAAGAAGCAGGTACGCACCTTCACAAACCATGGAAATGGCTAAGAGCAGAATTACAGGATATACAGAAAAGTTAACTAACACACTGACTCTAACTAGGATATTCAATGGCTTCTGTTTAGCCATTTCAAACAGTCATTGTTCACAAATGCAACGCAGCTGGTATCTTGCTAAGATCAAGTACGCACATAGTTTCAGTCAATCTGCAAAAGCACCTACTAAAATTTGGCAACAGTGTTAAGTCAGTATTCTAATTCCATGCAACACGTTAATTTCTATTCCTCTTCTTCCAATAAAACTACTCAGAGCTACTCACATTTAAAAACACTAACCTTCAATTCCTCAGTTTCTACAAACGCTAAGAAGTCTGTGTGCGCACATACACGCAGTCTGTCCCTATACATTATTTTTTGCTTTCATCTGAGAACACAGGTTTTATTACTGAGCTCATCAAGCAACCTGGCCCCAGACTGGCCTGCAGTGTCACGAATACTGTCTAGGCTCATGTGTGGGCAGGGTACAATGGGGTTTCTTGCTGATTTCTGCAGCTCTCATAGCTGCAGTTTCCTCCCATCTGTTGCCCCTTTCCAATATTCTCAGGTACCTCAATCCCCATACAGGACAAGCACAGCCTGCCCAGCTGGGAGACCTGAGGACCCAAGAAGCAGCAAGGACCCAAGCCAAGGAGGCAGACCGGCCGGCACCTGGCTGCAGCAAATAATGAAGTGAATGTGATCTTGGATGAACACCAAGTTCTTTGGCCACTAAATAACGGAGCCCAACCAAGATAAGGTTATTTTCACTCTTACTGTGCATGTCAGATGCGTGACTGTAGGACATGCAGACCATCCTCAGCTAATTAAGTTTAGCTGGTTTGAGTTGCAGTAATACGGGCAGGCTTTGTCTGACAGGGGAGTAATCTAGCCCACTACTAAGAATGCATTTTTAGACCTTCGCTGCTATTCAAACCTAAGTAGTTAAATTACAGTAAGAATAGGTATATCCATCTACACGTGGTGCTGTCACATTCTGTGTACAAACGCGGATTAAGCTATTTCAGCCATACCGAAGCAGACAGTTAGGTCCTGCTATGTGTTCCAGCCTGTTAATCTTCCCATTTGCCATGTATTAACAGGTTCACTGACGGTGAATATAAAAGGTTCCACTGAGAAAGTATTTGAACTCCATAAGCAAAGTCAAATAGAAACTTTACTATAGTCTAAAAGAGCCAATATATGTAAAACAGAAATAGGATCTCTTTAGGCTTTAGTACCTGAAGATGAAACGAAACGCTGGCTCCTAGCCTGCACTAAGCAAGTATCTTGCCCAGAATTCTTGCCATGAAGGCTTCCCAAAGGAAAGGGCGCTTCACAAAAAACATATTTCTTACTCAGTCGGCCAAACCAGACGAGCAACACAAAGCTCAGCTTCCACAGTCAGTGTTGTACCCACATTATCAATCCTAGATCCGCCTTTTTTTTTTTTCCTAACACAGCTGAGAACTGCATGAGAAAATATAACACGAACAAGCTGTAGTCAAAACCATCAACTGTCACAAGCGGTGAGCACGAAAAATGTTTTGGACTGAGAATTAAACCTCCTTAATAATATCTACCATTAAAAATGGTAGAAAAGAGAACGTCTTAAGAGTTTTCTGCTGTTTTTAATAGAAGTATATGTAAGATTAAAGTTTATTATAAGTTTATTTCCCTGTTTGTACAGGGAAAAGTTATATTAAAGTAGGACAAAAATAAGAAAAGCCTTCAATACAGGTAGAAGAGGAGAGAGTTAAAGGACAGTACGCTGCAAACAGGGGTTACCAGTCACATAATATGTAGAAATAAGCTTGTACCTTCTCTTCCATGCAGTGAAATGCATTCTGCATGATATGCCCTCTATATGATATGTAGAATGGTGTCAAATGTCACCATGTTCTTCGCATAAAAATATATAACAGTACCAATGACTGAATTATGATTTGCATAGCTGTAAAACCAACCAACTTCAAACCAACTTAAACTACAAACAAAGAAAACTGGAAAAAACCACCACCACCAACAAGCAAAAGCCCAGCTGAACAGGCAAAACATTCCACTGTCTGGGACTAATGTAATAAAAAAGAAGCAGAACTACTAGATGTTCCTGAATGGAACAGAAAGATTGAAAGTTGCACTCCCAAATATACAACTTACTTTTCTGCACCTTCAACATTTGCGCTGAAATGATGGCTGCACTAGGGGAGAGAACAACATTTGCCAAGGCGGATGCTTCACGAGCAGAGCTATTCTGTTTTGGAGAATTAAGTCAGAGCAGCTGTCATTTTCTTAAGGCTCCATGAATCAAGTTTGACTTTGATGGCTAATTTCTTCAAAGATGTGATGGGATCAGGCCATGATCCTTCCCAACACTACTGGGCATCAGCAGGATTTTCTTCTGAACAGTGACTGAATTTTTGTGGCAGCAAGAGCTTCCAGTCAGGAACTGATACCAACTCTCAGTTCTTTCTCTGCAGTGGTCAATCTGAATGCATTAGCCTGGGAGAAAAGTCCAGCAAAACTCAGTGGGGGAGATGAGGAGAGGGAACAAGGCCAGATAGGACATTTACGGGAGACTGGCATGAGACTGAAATTCAGTGTATGGAAATTTCAGTCTGAACAGACATGGAGTAGGAACTGGAATGTGGTCGGATGATAAACTGGGCAGGGAAAAAGGGATTTGCTGTGGGACAGAGGTTAAGGGGAAAGAAGTTGGAATCTTGAATCTGTGAAGGTAGAGAACGGGCACAACTAAGAATATGTGGTAGAGAAGGGAGTAGAGAAGGAAATAAGAGGAGGGAGCAGAAGAAAAAGACTGTATCAATAATCCTACCTTTCCTAAAATCCTTTGCGCTTGTCATTTTAATTCTATTCTGTCTTTACTTAATTTTTGCATATAAAACATTTATTTTTTATATTTCTCTAGGAAAGATGCATGCTCCTTTCTCTAATATATTCTACATCAGGTGAAAGGCTTTTTCATTGCCCTGGAGGATGGCTTGGACATGTTCAATGTTTAATGCATTCACATTATACTTAAAAAGCTACTAGAAAGCAGCTGCTAAATTGGTCAAAATAAGACTTGAACTCCGAACTTCAAGTCCACCTACAGGACCTGCATATCAAAATACATCTATTGAAGAGTGAGGGCGGGGCAGGAGAAATAGAAAGTAAAACTGGAAAAAGCATAATTGCCCAAGTAATTTTGATCTTTATTTTGAAGGTGCATGACTGGTAAACTTAAAACAGTGACTTGTATTCTGCAGACTGAAAAAAAAATCTGGTACAATATCACTAAAAATAAAAAAAATTGCAAATCAGAATAATGTTACACACAGACAAAACTCCACTGACTTCAGAGAGGCTACAGTTTCACCCACTAACTCAAGATTTGAACCCTTCTATCTGCAGCATATTCACTGGGAATACTGTCATGAATGAGAACACAAACAGGTCTGGTGCGTACCTCAATTCATCCAGAATAAGTGCTGTTCCAACAAACAGACCATGTTTTAGACAACAGACAAGTCTCATCTTAAATTACATTGACAACACCAGTTTCACATCTAATTAGGCTGAGTGATTTAATTTGTGACCCACCTATGAGAGCTACTAATTCTCAAAGAAAAAAAAATATAAAACTGAAAATAGAATATTTCACTACTGCAGGAGAGGCCTCCGATTAAAATCTACTTACTACATTAATTTTTAACATATCTTAAAACATTCAATTTGGAAAAGGAAAAAAAAAAAGTTGTGAGTGACCCATACTGACCACCTCTACGCGTATGCATGCAGTACTGTCTCTCAGAACAGCCATACCCCAATCAGTATAGTGACATACTTTCCTTTTTTACGTTAAAGATCTTCATGGCAGAGATTTTACTTAACGCTTGCTAAATGGTTGGGGGGACATGTAAAATTTTTTTTTTTTTTTTAGGTAATTCTGGTTATCCGATTTAAAGATATCAGCCAAAATACTTATCCTATCTCTTTCAAGGAAACTCAAGGAAAACATACTTGAAAAACATTTTTCTTGCTTACAGCTCAATCCACAGAAAGCTATAAAAGTATTAGAAGTGATTTTTTAATCACTTGTGAGCATTGAGTTGTTAAAACTAATGTCTCTCTTGATACTTGACCAAGCATATCACAAATAATACTGCAAGCCCATTAACTTGTCTTAATGAAAGTTTAGAGGGAAAGAACACTGTAAACTGAACAGCTGAACAGCTTCTGCTGAAACGTGCACGAGGGCTGCACAAGCCACGAGGGTATTCTGTACTTTGTGTCTAGTAAGTCTTACTAGATCAAATACAGTTAAACAGACAATAAAACAGAAAATAGCAACAGAGTAGAGTTCATAACAAATTTTTCAAGCAATCAAAATCAGATATAACTATATATATTTAGAATCATTCTCAATCTTAACCACAAGCTCTGCACATATTCTCCATATCACATATGTTCTATTTCAAGGGCTTAAGGAGGTTCAAGCACTACATGAAGAACAGCTTCTGTGCAAGGGTACAAGGCAAATATCTGCATTTCAGAAGTTTTTAATCTTTTTCAAACTACCAGATTACTTCTGAGAAAAAAAAAAAAATTCTATTAGCATAAGGGATAATGTTTTCAAAATGAAATGCCTAAGTTAAACTACATATTCTATACTTCGGTAGAAAAGTGAACCAATCTTCATTAGATGTGGAGCATCTTTTAAAGTTTTAACATTTTTATTTAGTTCTGTAAAAATTATTTATGGAATCTAGTACATGTCAGTTATAGTAAAAGTGTTCCACGTTAAATTTATTCGGGGCACCTTAACCTCCTGACGTCAGAATCCCTGACTTCTGTAAGGCTAGAACTGTTGGATACGGAAAAATGCTTTCAAAGTTAATTCCTTAATGCTTTTCATCTTCCGGTAGATGCTAAGGCAGAATTCATGATATAAAGGCAAAAAAAATATTTGGTAATTTCTGTATTTCTTTTAGTTCTACCATAAAAGTATTATGTTATTATATTGCCTTTCCAATCATTCTTTATCTCCAAAACTCACACATTAGGTTGTTATCTTAAGAGCAGTGAAAGTTCTTCTATTAATTAATTTTTCCGGTGACAAGCAAACAAGAGTGATGTGTACATTTCCACCTTTATTACTCATTTTTCCGCTCTTTGAAAAGGAAGATGATGATCCCTGATATGGTCATTCTGTGAAATTATTCCCACTGTAAATTAAAATCTTGTGTCTACTTAAAAGATGACTAACACTGAGTGACCTACCATTTTTTTGGGAAGGCTACAGTAGCCTTCAAGCTAACAAATCATACTAGTCAGCCTAAATTTTCCACTCATTAAGTTCAACCATTTAACTCTTTTATATCCATTCATATCACATCACAGGTTCCTTGATTTTCTACCAAGGCCTGCTTTTAAGTATGTGCTGATAATATAGCACTCCACGTTTTAAGGAAACGGTCTTTCATGTGAAATACCCAGTAAAGGCATTAACCGTGTTTATTGCATTTTGTCCTTTTCTGTACTCCTGGATCCTGAGAGAGAATGCAATTTTCTAAGTGTGGTCATAAAGTAACCTTCTGGACGGGAGACATCACTTCACATTTCATGGGGAAAAGATGTTGCTAGCCATGTCTTGAGTCATTCAAAAAGTAATGAAAGATTTGAGAAAGAGCTACATTTATGTAATATAGATATACGGAAGTTCTGAGCTATACCGGCTCATCTTCATGCAAAGATTACACACCTGTAGTATCCCAGAGTGGCTTATAGCTGCATTGGTCTCACTTGAGAAAGACATCATATGATCTGGAAAAAAGCTCTGTAAAGATAATAAATTGTATCAAATTTCTGTAAAAATAAATACAAAACTTCATATCTCTTTTGGACATAAAATTAAAATTCTCAATGCTGTGTAAGACATTGCTGTTTCTCTGATCCAACAACTCCAGTCAATCTTTATCTTCCTAAATTTGTGACATCCTATATATTATCTGCTGAAGAACTTAAGAATTTTGAGAAAACAGCAATGGACTCTGGAAGCAAAAGAATTTCATGCTACAATGCAAGTCAAATCGCAGTACCTGGCCCTTAGTGTTGTTTTTCTAGTAGTAATTTCTATTACTGTTGACATACAAGATTTGCCTCGGGCTTCAATATGCTACAAAGTAGGGAGGATATACACCAATACACTGAAAAATATAACTTTTTTTTTGTTGTTTTGATTACACTAGAATCTCAGTAAAATATTTCACACCTTCCACTAACAGGGGGCAATTCCTCCCAGTTTTTTTTTTCCATTTGGTATGACATGAGCATGAATTAACCACCAAAATGTGACTGTGCCAACATGATGTGGCTAAAAAGTCCACATTTAAAGTGCCAATTTCCTTGTCAAGGAAAGCTCTAAGGGTAATTCATGGGATGAGCCTGCAGCTGGTGAACCCAGAGTAGCTATGCAGACATGAATCAGTAAAGAGTTTGATCATTACTAATAAAGTTTTCTCACGGCTTGAACAATTTCCAGGCTAAAGATTCCCTTGACCATCCAATGCCCACTGACTTCCATTTTTAGTAATGCTCAACTATTGGTAGGATTAATTAGTATTCATCCTTTTCTGACAAATCCTTCTTATTACACCTTTTCCTAGGACCACAGTACTCAAAGGAGTAACTCAGCTGGAATAGTTAGGACTCTGATTAGCCACAACAGTTGATGTTGTTCACAGCTGCATGTCTACCATAGCTCCCAGTTGTTTCCACCCACTGGTCAACCAATGCACAGTGACATCTACCTGATTTTTCCAGAGAAACACATGCGGAGCAATGAAAAAACTCAGATCTCCTATGTCTTTTGGTGTCTTGATATCTACCTTTCTGTCCTTTTCACAGATACATAAGTGGAGTTCCCTTACACTTTTCACCTTTCAAGCCCTCATACCTTTTTGCTATTTCTCTCTCTGACATCTGAAGCTAGCTGGCATTATAAGAGACAGTGTTAGGAGTGATCCAAATGCACAGTGCATTTGAGTAAAAATATGGTAAGCGGCCTTTGCCATCAGCAAAGATGTGAATCAGTAGCATTAACCTTTGGCAATCCATGAGTTACTAGTTGTCTCTGTTCTCTTTCCACTGCTTACATACACTAACTTTGACTTCATTTTCACTTCTTCCTAGCAGATGCTATGGCTGCTCATGGCCTTTTGAGTCACCTGTCATATAGCTGCAGCTGTGAAAAGCTGCTATGGGGCATGGCTGGGCTATTATAACATTCAGTTTTCACTTAACAATAAAGTCATTTTTGCTACAGATGCCCCTCCCCGCACTACTTCATTTGATATTTTGGCCTTAGTTTATGGAAACCTCATTTAAAGCAGTCAACGTCAAAAATTTCTCATTTTCTTAAAGGTCTGTGCACAAATTTCAAGTTAAATCTACTTCTGCCCGCCGCCACCCCCCCCCCACAAAAGGTATGAAAGTGGATGTTTAGAAATCAGAGGGACCAGCCAACAGCTACAAACATGACAATATTGTCCTATATCCCCTCCCAGTTATTCATTCTGACCTGTATTACACTAACGGTTTGACGTTTGCCTATCTGCATGGAATAGAACAGGCTGTTCTGCTTTGTATTGCCGCAGTTCCACCACTTCACAGAGATGGTGTTATGACTTACCATTGGATTCTTAAAAAACTCATATTTGGCATAATATTTTCTAAAATACAGTCTGTTTTCCTCTTCCATTCCCCAGTTGGACTGCACTTCCATCACTAATTCATGGTCCTCTATAGCTCTTCCTGTAAAAGAAGACACATAACCTGCACTCAAGTTCTTAACAGCAAAATGTGAAAGCACAGGGGTGCTGTAAAGCAATGTGTATTTACAAAATGGGAGACAAGTGAGCTGAACACAGTCCATGTTATGCTAACCCAGAGGCTTTACTCTCATCACATGACCATATAAACGACGAGACAAAAGCCCGGCAGTTCCCACCAAGCGATGCAAAGAGCAGCAGGAAGTAGACTACTCCAGCAATTCACCTGCACTCAGCCTGTCTGGGATGTCAGGAATGTCTGTCTGACTCTCCTTTCCCTAACGTATCTTTCATAAAACATGAGTTGTCCCAATACAGAAAAGCATTACTCTGTCTTCTTTTCCCCAAGCCCCCACTATGTTCTGAAGCATCTCTAAAACACATACGAAGGTAGGACACTTCAGAGTTGTAATGCTTTTGCACAGATCAGGGAAACTGAGACTTTTAGTTGTTAAACTACTAGTATATGCAAAAGGAATGGTAAGACTAAGCCTCAAAAAACTAAAAAAACTCCTGTAAAGTCAGTCCTAACGTATACTTTGGTTTTGCAAAGGGGAGAGAAGAAGAAAAGAAAGTATCCAGGTATTTGTACTCTAGCACTCAGGTTTAGAAGCAACATTCTCACTGCTTTAGACTGCTTCTGCAGCTCAGATTCTTGTAGAATATCAAGTGCATTTATAGGAAAGATACAGAATTTAGGAACGTTCCTGCAGATGTATTATGCATGCTTAAGCGTTGCATGCTCTGAGTAATGCTACTAATTTCAGTGAGACAATTCTCTTGTCTCACTGACCTTCTTGTCTCACTTAACTTCTGCAAGAAGTTAAGCATGAATCCTGGAAAAGTGGGATAACTGTTGTACAGTACTATTTATACTGCTTTTTTCTTGTTTTGTTTTAAATAAACCTTGGAAGTTTGCGAAATCATGTCATGAAAAAAGAAAAACATGCTTCCAAGTAAGCATACAATTTTGGTGGCCCCTTGTACTTTGTTGTGGACTCAAATTAACAGGAACAAGATGGAGTTTAACAAAGTTGTAGGCTTTGTTTAAATGGTCACCAGCACCTCTAAATGTAAATTACATTCCAATAAATGAATTACAGGTTAAGAGTAGGTCTGAGATCTAAACTTATGTCTCCCTGTCAGTTATGTGGTTTTAACATCCAATTCTGATCATGCTTTTAAATGGAAGAGGCAATTAAAAATGTATTATAAAACTATGTAACTCACTTAATTTTCTGATCACATTTTTAGACTTTACTGCATTATCATAAGGGTTCTACACTTCAAATGAATGCTAATGCTCTCATGTAACTGCCTGATGCTAGGAACTTTAAAAAAAAACTGTAATACATAAAAAGTAGTGTAAAAAATATACAGCTTAAACTACATGTTTTTAGAACTTAAATTAGGCATACCATTAATTAACATAAATGGTAAAATTTTTGTAGGTGTCCCGGGCTAAACAGAGTCTAACTTTCAACCCTCGGAAGAGTCACATGCCCAACCTTCTAAGAAGTAAAAATCAAAACTCAAATTTTAAGTAATAAAGCCTACTTATAACTGCAGCCTGCTTTTATTGATCTTTGTTTGCTACCTCTTTCTCCAATCACCGCTTCCACATGCTTCCATACTATCCAGTCTGATGGGGAACAGCTTTATTCTAGCTGCAAACCAAACCTATACACTTGTTCTGCCAGCAAACCTAGAGACAATATGTTTGTACAGTTAAATTCCACCATAGTATGAAAATATCAAGCTCATGACTCACAGAGGACAAAGCACTCCTATGACCACAATCAAGTAGGGAAGAAGTTGAACTCTCATGGAGTTTAATTCATTCTTGAGTCCATAAAGACAGACATTTGGGATTCTACAAAAAACTTACATTCTGTAACTAGATAAAATGAAGCAAAAAACTCAAAAAATTGTGTAAAGCTTGGGCAGGCTTGTCTACTCCAAAACGCATTCTTCAGTTGTGGGGGAAAAGAGACACTATAGAACTAAAATACTTACTCAAAAGTAGCATTTTTTTTTTCCATCCAGTTTTACAGAGAGAAAGCTCTCCTCTGGGATGACATTTAAAACTCCTGAATGGTTGGCATTGTGACCTTTAAGAAAATACTATTTCCTCAAGAATTCTGGGTACAAAAATAAGACATTCTGCATCACCTCAATGGATGGGTAAGGATGCTGACATTTCTATTTTTTTAAGGTGTCACAATCTAGAGTATTTTACAGTTGATTCAACTTATTTCTCACAGGATCTGAAAGACTGTGTTAGGGCACTCCAAAACACAGTCCTGTAGTCAAATTACTAAATGTTGCCAGGAGAAAGCTTTACCTAGATCTTTTTTTTCCCTTCCAGCCAGATCGGGAAAGTTCTGGCCTTCCTCTCTATCTTTCCATTACAGCTACTGCCTTTGCTCTGATGAGCACCTGCCACAGTCCAAAACAAAAAAGTTCCCTTAACTGTGGAAAGTACCTGGAGCACATGAAAGGTATAATACTGAAGTGCATGACAAAACACATTTCAAATAGCCTCCTCTCAACCCCCCTAGGAAAAGTATTAAAAAAGGAGTGGGGGGGGGAGGGAGGGGAGAAAGTACACTTTCTGGTACTGTTGCATGGACAGTGCTTCATGAGGTTTCTCATCTCGGGACCGGAAGCCTTCCCACAGGCTTCATAAAAGTACCCAGACCCTGAATGCCAAGCGAGAGCTGGAAACCCAACGACGGGCCTGGCCAGGGGGACTAAGACCAATTCAGGGAGGGACTTCAGAACAAATTTTCCCTGTCTAAGTCTGTTGAACTGAAGAACCGTATGGAAAACTGGTTACAAATCAACATTCAAGAGTCACTCCACAGAAAAGGAAAATGTTGAGGGGAAAGAAAGTATTTCCCTGGA